AAGTCACAGGAAGACCTGAAAGCTGCATTCAAACACCTTATTCGGTTGGAAGTGGGCTTCGAGGACCATTGATATAGGATATATCTTAGGATTGTAATGAGTTTTTGGAATTTGTTACATTGGTCTTTTACTAATAATAATATATATTGTTTTTCGTGCAACAATTTCTCATTGGAAATCTTTTATATATTTCTTTTACAAAATATTTGTACATTCCGACGACTTTTTACTCTTGATAATTGCTATAAATGTCGTCAGAAAAACAATTTTTTCGACGCACTTCCATGTTGGAAATGCACAATTCCGACAAATTATATTCATCACAAATAGTAATTTAGGGTCGGAAATATTATTTACGGCAAATAGTCATTGGTCGAAAATATATTGTTGCAAAACAAAAGATCTCGATAAATAATTATTTCCGACAGTTGCATAATTATTTGCGACCAGAGTTATGGTTGGAAATGAATTTGTATCATTGTTTTGAAAATGCATTTTCGACAGAAATATAAGCAATATCGATGAAATATGGGCGTCGAAAAATACATTATTTCCGACGGAGTGGTTGGAAAAAAACTATTTGCAACCAGCGTTTTTTCGACGACTTCCGACGGCAATTTGCCGTCAAAAAAGGATATTTTCGACTACAAAACACCTTTTCTGACCATAAATCACCATCGCTAAAGGCATTCTTTTTTGTAGTGATGGCTGGACTACCATTAGATTCAAGGCAAACAATCCTGGTAAGACTCTCTGGTTTGGTTAACTTCCGAATTAATCAAGTTATAATGAATGATGCTGATCATGTGATGTCAATGATTTTTTTGTTGAGCACAGGAGTTTGGTTTATGCACTGCCATCTGGATAGGCATATGACATGGGGCATGGACGTGACGTTCATTGTGAAAAATGGAAAGGGTCTAGGAGCCCAAATTTTACCTCCGCCATGCCTCCATGCTAATTGCTACAAAGCTCTGGCTGTATGTTCATGGCAATAAATTGGGAACGTAGTCCTTGCTTTAATTTGCTATCATTGTACTACTCTTTGGACTGGCCAGGATATATATGTTATAAAAATTTAGCTGGTCGGTCTTGTATTATAATTTACATGTTCCAAAATAAGTGAGATTATTATTTGCTGGCAAGACCTGCAAATGTCTGCAAAATCAATTATTTTGAAAGATTGGTCCCAATGGGTTAAACTGCACATCAACGAACGTACTTTTTTTTATTTTTGGTGCGTTGGGGGGAAAAACCCCAAGCAACATAGCTTCATAAAGTCAACACCAACAAGACGGGAAAAGAAAGAAAGAAAGCTGCCATGCCACCACATTGGCCACTATTTATTGGACAGAGTTTTTGGCAAGCTAATCCCCTTGAACCTCCAAAAAAACATGAAAGTTACCCCCCAATAAATATTCATCTGTCCAAATCCATGCTTGATATAATCAAATTTGTGTTGTAGATATTGATAGAGTTAAGTTGTTTTCCAGTTGTAGAAAGTGAACTTCCAGAAGGACTGCAGCTACATCTTATATTTGTGGTACCCTCTTTCCTCCCTTTTCATTTTATCATTTCGTGAGCATTTTTCTCAATGGCAATGGACCTTAACCTTTTTTTTTTTTAACCCCCAAAAAGTTAAAAGTCGTTTTTTTTTTCTTTTATAAGAAAAGTTAAAGGTGAAGTTTGCGACCATTTAGCAGTGCTTTTTCTTGATTAAGGCCTCAAGCTGGACTCTCTGCCCTTGAGGATACCTGAAAGCCGGACATAAAAACTTCAAGGTAACACACCAGTCTCTGAGAACAGAATACAATGGTTTGCTTGATATGAAATTATTCTACTGTCAACAAAGAATCCCGACTGATCAAGACTGAGGAATTTGATCCTCTATTAAAAGAAGGGCTTTTCAAATATAAGTTGCTTTTTCAATAAGAAATAGTGTCAAAGGACTTGACCTGATGTGCATTTGAGCTTAATACACAGTCAACAAAGGGATTGACTGAGCCATCAGCTATCTGCCATCTGCTGCTGTAGACGGATCAAGTTTCGCAAGTATCAATTTCTTGTTCATATCAGCTTCTATTTGTAAATTGTAATTTTCACCAACGTAGTTGCATCTTAAGCATCTAAATGACAAAGTTTCAGAATTTGTGTGAAATTTCACAACCTGAGGAATAAGATGTTGTTGTGTAAGAGAAAAGAAACAGCTTAGAATGGAAAAGTGACTATCTACTATATTCAGTTCTCATAGAATGGACAAACTGAATTTCAATCGCTGCAGCTCAGTTAAAATGTGAGACTCATTGCTTCTTTGTCTTGTAATTGCTGTAGTTGCTTTTGGAATGCAGCCTCTTCTCTTGTTGTTCACTGTTGAAGAAAGAAACAGAAGTTACATAGTAATCGGGTGAGAAAATCAAAACCAAATTCTAAAGGTATGGACTCATAACAGGTAACAGGCATAGAAATCCAAGAGTCTAAAAAAAACACTAAATAGATTGCCGGAGAAATCCAAGAGTCTTCTGGAAAACTCCTGCTGGAATTAAACCAAAAGTCTTCTAGAAAAATCCAAAAATTATAAAAAGTCTATGATGGACAACTCTATACAATGAACAGCAGCTAATCCAGCCACAAATACATGAGGCTTCATGAGTCTGAGCCTGAGCCTTCATGAGGCTTGCGCAATGAACACGGTGATGCATAGGATCTAAAGCTTATGGTTGGTTTGCTAGATATTACTAAATCAAATCCTCAAAACTACCTATCTGTATAATATCCTGGAGATGAGGACTACCCTTTGATATCTGTTGCATTATTGGAAAAGAAAACCACTTATTTAAGGATATCTTGCAGGTATTCCTTAAACAGGCATCTTCCTCCATCATCCACCATACTTACCCCAATTTTAGAACTTTTCCCCGTCGTCTGCACACCCTAAATTTTCTTAGTTTCCAATACAACCTCAACTCTTCTTTATGCCGCCATAGTTGTTTCCTTCCATATTATTTGTCTACTTCTGGTTTCTATCATGCTACCTCTTAATGTCCTGTATTTCCTGGTCTTCCCACTAGTATTCCATATCAGTTTTAATTCTCAACAAATGAATCCATCTCAACAATGAATACCACTCCTGGATATGTAAATCTATTAGCAATGGAAACCTCTTCACTGATACACGTTATAAAAAGAGTTTTATGTCATATTTGTGTCCCTCTTTCCAAAAAGAGTTTTATGTCAATGAAATTCAAATTGTATATTCAAAACCATAACTACATTATGTAAGGAAAGTCTTAATTAACATTCACTCAATTGCAATGAAAGTAAAAGCAGAAAATAACTTTATGCAATTAACATTTTAACAAGTACGGCTAGGAGTTTTAGGGATATCACCTCATTCTCTCCATTCATCTTCCATGTGGAGTTCCATATTGAGTCCTACAAAACTCAAGACATCTTCTTCTAGTGAAAATATGTCCCTCACTTGTTCTACCTTTGACTGCAAATTGGTGGCATCCTTTTCACATATGTCGAGAAAAACTTCCAAAGAAGACACGTGATGATGGATAGTTTTCGATACCAACAATAGGGGAGAGCTCACCAGGCCAGCGCCTCAAGCCGCAATATGAGATGGAAGAATCCATCAAGCACCTTACTTATTGCATCTACTATTGTGGTAGTTAAAAAGGTGTTCTTCATAGGACTTTCTTTTATATCTTCTTCAATTTCCGAACAGGCAAGCTTGTAGAGTCGTATCATCCTGGCAGAAACAACCATATCGTTGTTTTCTTGCCCTGTTAAAAAAGCTGACAAACCTTCTGTGATTTGTTCATTCTTTGGGATCCAATAAAATAAATGACAAAGGCTGTGTGAAATCAGGCGCCACAGTCGAAGTGCGTGAAATTTGATACCCTCCATAGCAGACTAATTGCTGCTATCATTAGCATTTGTGTTCAACCAGCTAACCACACTACAATGATGTCCTGATTTCCTTTGACTGAGAGATATTGCATTGCGTAGGGCAACCACTTCTGCCTCAACCGCAGCCAGAGAAACATACTGTTTTCTCTTCTGGACAGCAACGATATCTTCATACTCCACTAGCCTGCCAATAGCCATGAGCTGAACCCATTCGATTTCTATCTCTATACTGGTGAATTTGGGATTAGATTTTTTCCATACCTGGCTGATGTCAATTTCCATTTGACCACTTGAATTCTTGATAGAATCCCTCAACAAATTTTTAACCATCCACACCTGTGCATCCAGGTTTTCCACGGCTCCCAAAATTTCATTCTTTTTCAATCTAACACTAAAAACACATCAGATTTCTCTGTTACTATTGCAGCAACATAGAAATCGAATCCCAAATTCACCCAGGTTTGTATGGAAACCTGGATGTTGCTGCAATAGTAACAGAGAAATCTGATGTGTTTTTAGTGTTAGATTGAAAAAGAATGAAATTTTGGAAGCCGTGGAAAACCTGGATGCACAGGTGTGGATGGTTAAAAATTTGTTGAGGGATTCTATCAAGAATTTAAGTGGTCAAATGGAAATTGACATCAGCCAGGTATGAAAAAAATCTAATCCCAAATTCACCAGTATAGAGATAGAAATCGAATGGGTTCAGCTCATGGCTATTGGCAGGCTAGTGGAGTATGAAGATATCGTTGCTGTCCAGAAGAGAAATTTCACTTAACCTCCAATTCCTCCAATTACTCCAAATCGTCCTCTTGTTCTTCTTCCTGCTGTAAAGCTTCTTGATTTAGAGTTTCTTGCTCTTTCCATCAACGACACCGTCTGCCTGTCTCTGAAGTTTTAGGTTTTTCAAAGCAAAACGGCGCCGTTCGTAGAAAGAATTTTTCCCAAATTATATTTTTAGGTGTCTTTTTCAAACATATATAAAATAAAACAGAAGTCGGAAAGGAAAAAAAGAATTCCTTTTTCAGAAAAGGAAAAACACTAGTTGAGAGCCGCCTATAAATACACTACGAGAAGAAAAAACAGAGACACAAGAAGCACACACGCAAGAGTCAATTTTCCTGTTTCCTAAGGAATTGCTGTCTTGTTCGGTCATCGGTGGTTTTTTAAAGAGTACGAGATAAAGATAGAGACGGTGGCTTTGTCATTGAAATTCATGCTCCGATATTGTGTCGGGTCAGGGTAATCGATCTTACTGGTAGTATGGAGGAGGTAAAAAGGGATGCGATAAAGAACGGTAGACGGTTGATGAAGAGTTTAACGGAGAGGAACCCTAAGCAGCCACTTTGTTGGATTGCATCTGCGAGGTTGGAGGAGGACGCTGGGGAAATGGAGGCAGCGAGGCAATTGATTCAGAAAGGATGTGAGGAGTGCCCAAATAGTGTGGATGTGTGGTTGGAGGCGTGTAGGATTGCGATTGCGAATGCGAGGATTGAAGCAGGTAAGGTTGTGATTGCCCATGGATTGAAGTTGATACCCAATTTGGTGAAGCTGTGGATGCAGGCTGCAAACTTGGAGCATGATGACTCGAATAAGGGCAGGGTTTTGAGTAGAGGATTGCAACATATTCCTGATTCCGTTCTGCTGTGGAAGGCGGTGGTTGAGCTCGCCACTGCCGCGAAATCGAATGAGGACGAGGAAGAGGAGGAGAATGCAAATGCAAGGCAGAGCATGAACTTGTCTCGAAGCCCGAGAAAGGGGGGAGGCACAGAGAGAGTATGGATGAAATCAGCAATTGTTGAGAGAGGATTAGGGAATGTTGAAGAGGAGAGGAAATTGCTTGATGAAGGGTTGAATAAATTTTCTTCGTTCTTTAAATTGTGGTTGATGCTTGGACAGCTAGAGGAACGGCTTGATCGTTGGGAAAAAGCTAAGGAGGCTTATGACTTGGGCCTGAAGCACTGCCCTAATTCTATACCGCTCTGGCTTTCTCTTGTTAATCTTGAAGAGAATTTGAATGGGGTGACTAGTGCTCGTGCACCTCACGCTAGCCAGCCATAAAAATCCTCACAACCCTCAACTGTGGCTTGCTGCAACTCGAACTGAATTGAGGCATGGTAATAACAAGGAAGCTGATATTTTGATGGCGAGGGCTTTGCACGAGTGTCCCAATAGTGGTATCTTGTGGGCAGCATATATTGAGAGTGTGGTACCCCTACCCCCTTCTCAATGGATGGCCAAGGTTATGGATGCCCTCAGGACATGTGATTACGATCCCCATGTCATTGCTGCTGTGGCCAAGTTATTCTAGCATCACAGTAAGGTTAAGAGAGCTAGGACTTGGCTCAACAGGGCCGTCACAATTGCCCCAGATATTGGGGATTTCTGGGCTTTATACTTCAAATTTGAACTTCAGCATGGGACTGATGAGAACCAGAAGAATGTTTTGCAAAGATGCATTGCTTCACAACCAAAGCATGGTGAAAAATGGCAACCTATGTCCAAGGCCCTGCACAACTCTCACCAACCAACTGAAGCTATCTTGCATCAAGTGGTGGCTGTACTCGGCAAGGAAGAGAGCTCGCAGCAGGCAAGGCAGGAGCCCCAAACTGATAGACTCTAGTTGTCCGTTCTCCGGGCTTCTCCTTTTTCCAGGTTATATTTCTTCTAAAATGTTCTCCAAAGTTGGACCTTTACCAGTAGTTTCACTTGTGGGCATCCTATTTATATGTTACTCTATTTACTTATGAGCTTTTCTCAATTTCATTTTTTATTGCCAATTGCCTTTGGATGGTTCGGTGATGAGGCTTGGCTTGACTTATTAATTACTTGTTGTTCCTATATATGTCATTTTTTACATATTCAGTTTTGAGCTGGGTGTTATTATGTGTTTTCCTTTAGCTCTTTGTATTTCCCATACTCCCCCATCTATATTCGTTCCTTTTGATATCATAATATCTATCTAATTCCTTCCTCATGCCTGTGCTTTTCAACTCCGAGAGGAAACTTGAATTCCTCGCCGGAGATTAGCTGAAGCAGGTAGTCTGAGACATCACAGTAAGAGGGCAGGATTTTGGAAAATCATTGTCCTCCATAGGCAGCGTTCCTTACACTAATGCAACACGCAATGGAAAGGTCAGTTGTGTTCATTGTTTTCAATACAAATCTAGCCATCTCTAGCTCCTCGGTTGTGAAAATTGTTGTGCCTCCTCTCCATGGATTTTAACTTAATAAACTTATGCTTCTTCACACTGAAATAAATTCCGGAGATCACAAACAAAAGACATGAGAAACAAGAGCCGAGACGTGCAAGGTTACATTTAATTAAGTGTAAATGTTGAAGGGAGCATAGCACTTATCAATTATACTCTAGGGCAGATGACTTACTTACCTAGGGTGAGATGTGCAGGGCCCGGAAAGACTTTGATATGTTGTGGGATGTAACCTCCTCAGCCACTTCTCCTTTTTCCTGTGGTAATTATATTCCTAGGTTGTCTTTGAAATTTCGTAATGATGAGTGTCAAAAGATAGATAGATAGACTGACTTTCATAATATGTCCAATAGATAGATAGATGGATATATAGTGTGTCAGGAGAACCTTTACCAATTTTGATTTTCATATGGTATTCCAGTTTTGTACTTGTGTGGATTCTGGGAGTACTTGGATTGGATATAGTTTAGGCAAATAGAGACAATTCTTGTGTAGGAATAGAAATTAGAATTGTGGAAACTTGATGAGCACATCCTGCCCTGTCGTGTGCTGCTGATATCTCCTACCATCAACATAGGAAAGATCAGCCTGTACCTGGTTGGCCCATGATAAACCACAAAGTTATGTTTCCTAGAATCCCTGCCTCAAGCACAACAGACTTATTAATGGCTTTGGGAATGTAATTATTGCAACAGCCACTACCACCAGAAGACCACCTGTGATGACGAGTCATAGTGGTCATCATGTTACATACCTTAACCCATTCACTGTGCACCTTAGTTGACCCTCTCATAAAACCAAAGTAGTCACTCACAACAACTCATGTGTATGAGTAAGACTGTGAACTTGTTTGCAGTGTCAGAGATTGTCTCATAGTACTCAAATTCATTGCAGCAATATGAGGAGCAGTAGCCAGTAGGACTAAAGTACAACAACATTAATAATATTCTTCCTATTTTAATGGTATTGCAGCTATAAGCAACCAAGTTATTTACGTGTACTAGGATGGAGAAAGCTGCCCCACCTCAATAATATTACTTTTTCCTTAGAATGACTTTGGCGGGATATAGGAGCTGATGCAGTTTATTATGTCAAACCAATACACTCCCATGGAACATTATCCTTTCCCAATACCGAATCGGGTAGGGTGCTGTGAGATTCCCGCACATTCTTTTTGGCAGGGGGGCTTGGAGTTGTTGACTTCGGATAGTGCTGCCAACAAAAAATATGAAGCTAAGGTCAACCAAGAGAGTTTGTGGAAGAGATGGCCTAGTATGAGAAGCAACATCCTTTCCATTTAATCCTTCCTTCCTTCAACATATAAGTGAAATTTTGGTTTAGAGGGCTCAATGATGTGTTGAAGAAAAGGATTTACGTCCGCTCCTTCCGCGTTTCTTCCTTTTACGCGGCGTTGAATCTCAACTCTAGTTTTCTTATTGCGAGGTCAAGGGTTAGGCTCAGTATATGACCAAATGCACTTGCTCCCTCCTTTTTTCTTCCTTGAAGCAGTCACTTAGAAGAACATTGAATGCTTAATTTCTTATTTTTTCAACATCGTTTTACATACATGCATGTCTTGATTTTTTGTTAATGCCTCAGGAGAAATGGAACATACCCAAGAAGGAAAACGTAGTTTCCAGTTTAGTTATCAATGTTTCTTGACCTTTGCAGTAATAGGTAAGATTGCTACAGCTTCAAGATATATCGAAAATGCCCACAGAACCTATTACAATAGATCAAAGCTTCAATCAGATGTGAGTAAAAAGTAACAGCATCATACAAACTGACGTAAGTTAAAAAAACTGGCTGCAAGCTTTCTTTCCAAACAACTGGCAGTGCAAGAAGACGTTCCTCTGCTTAACTTCAGAATTAATCAAGTTATGATGAATGATGCTGATCATGTGATGTCAATTACTTTTTGGTTGATCATGGGGGTTTGGTTTATGCACTGTCATCTGGATCGGCATATGTTATGGGGCACGGATGTGAAGTTCATTGTGAAAACTGGAAAGGGTCTAGGAGCCCAAATTTTAGCTCCGCCACCAGGAAGGCCTCCATGCTAATAATTTCTATAAAGCTCTGTCTGGCTGTATATATGTTCATGGGATGACAATAAATTGGGCCATGTAATGCAGTCCTTCCTTGCCTACCATTATACTACACTTTGGAATGCCCAGGATATATATATATATATATATATATATATATATATATATATGTGTTCTCG